ATGGCACCATATATTCAAATCCAACCTGAAATAACCAAACATTTTTGACTTAGGTTATAATGATTTCAAAAAGAAATGCCTACCAAGTAAAGAGAAAAGTACTATTAATATAATGCTAAGACTTTGGGAAACCCAATGCTTTTGGATCAATGCCAAGAACTATGTGAGAGGCAGACAGAACAAGGGAGGGAGAGAATATGACAATATTCCTGGCTAGATAAAATAGATGATTAAATAATCTGAATTTTTCTAAAAGGAATGATACATTGCAATGGTCTTCTATTTTCTTTACTAAGTGTAAGGGAAGAAAACTTTATCTATAGAAACTAAAATCTACATACAAATGAAATCTACATACAGACAAGTCACCGAATAAACAATGTCTGAATGAGAATAGCTAATAGGCTGCTTTATTAGCAAAAATAGAAACAACACATTAAATGAAATTTTAAATTATTAGCCTTGTGATATGTATTGTTATTAAAGCTTTATAATGACCACTACATTGGAAAACTGTAACAAAGTTCCGAATGAAACTGCTTCGGGTTACCTAAGTTACTGGAGTTATATTAGCAAATCTTGTTGACAAAACCTTCAAATATATCTGGAATCTGCTTATTTACGACCTCCTTGCTACCGCTCTGGCCCTGCCAGGCAGGACCATCTCCTGTTTCCCTGCTTCCACCGTGGAGCCATTATTCAATACGTTACCAACAAAGCAATGTAGTCCTGTTACCCTGGGAAGTCAGACGTCATCTGTCTTCATTCAAAACTCCCTGGTGAATCCTCATTTCTCTCAGAGTAAAAGTCAAAGTCCCTTCCCTCCTTTCCTCTCTAACCTCCTCTACTAGCCATTCTCCCCTTTCACCTCGGCCACACTTGTCTGCTGGCTATTCTTCAAACGTGCCACTTATGCTTCTGCCTCAGTGCCTCTGCACTGGCTGTTCTGTAACCCAGAACCCTTCTCCTTCAGACGTCAGTTAGCCCTTTCTCTCTTCCATCAAGTCCTTGCCAGATGTCAGCTTCTCAACGTGGCCTGCTTTGACCACCCTATCTATAATTGCAACCCCTTCTCCAGAAGTCCCTGTCCCTTTGGCTGCTCTCTCTTTTTTTCCCCTGTAGTCCTTTCTTTCACCTTCTAACCTACTACACAGTAGAATTATTTATGCTCAGTGAGTAGTATCTCTCTCCCTGAAAAGAAAGTCAGCTCTAGAGGGACAGTGATTGTGTCTGTTTTGTTCACTGATGTAGCTCTGGTTCCTAGAATAGTGGCCGACACACAGTAGGTACTCAATACATGTTTTTGGACGAGTGTCTTAAGAAAAATATACCCAAATTCAAAATTACCAATTAACTAAATTTGAGTATTACATTTATGCATACAAAATGTATTACAGACTTCAGGTACTGAGATATAAATGATATCAACAAGTGTGTGTGCTCTTGTGTTGACAGTTTGCTTCTCAACTCAATGCTGAATGGTGCCTTTTCTGGTGGTTTCCTCTTACTAATTTGCAGTTTGAGAATTATTCCTTTCTTCCCTTCCTCAGCATGTTTCTGCATGCTTCTTCAAAATTCTTTGACATGTGCCTTAGAGATAATAAAGTAATTTATTAAAATTCAATGCAAAACTCATTTTGAGGCTTTGCACACACTGTTCCTGTTGCTTGAACTGTCCATGTAACTAACTAGTGACTCAAGGCTAGACTCAAATCTAACTTTCTCCATGAAGTTTCTCTGATTCTGTCTTTAAATGATGTTTCTCACTCCCTACCTTGGATAATAATTATCTGTTTTGCCTGTCTGAGAAGATGGCCACAAAAAAGTTTTCCTATCCTTGTGCATATATGTTGCTCCTCCAACTAAAGGTGCAATCTATTTTTCCTCCTCTTGAATCCAGGCTTCTCTTGTGACATTTTGACTAACAGAATGCATAGGACATGACACAGTGCCAATCCAGGCCTAGGCTTCAAGAGGCCTGGTAATTTTCACTTTTGCTTGTTTCAAGCCACAGGACACTGTCCTGCTAGAAAGGGTGGCCATGTGGAGGAGGGGGAGAGGGAGGGGGAGAGAGAGAGACAGAGACAGAGAGACACAGAGATGTTCTGAATGAGAGATGAGAAACTACAAAGAGGGCCCAGCCAGCTTCCAGGTGTTCTATCCACTTCTGCTGAGATGCCAGAGAAGTAAGTGAAGCCACCTCAGCCAACAGCCTGTGAAACAGAATCGAGCAGTCCCCATCAAGCTCTGCCCAAACTGCAGAATTGAGAGCATATAAATGGCAACTGTTGTTCAAAGTCACTCTGTGTTGTTCTGTAGCAGTTGATAATAGATATATTGCCTCATCTCTCTACTAAGAACATCATGCCTTTAGGGCTACAAGCACAGTATACTGCATGAAGTAGGCACTTGGATATTTGTTGAATAAATCAATCAGAATGTAAATGAGAAGGTGAAGCACAGTACTCAAATATAAACTACTCTGGGATTTTATTTGGTTTTAGATTGTCATTATATCAAATACCATGGCTAATCAAAAGCTGACTATATTACTGAAAGTATTACAGTAGAGTATGTTGTCAATCATTATTTATTATAAGATGTTGATATAATTACCTTTCAAGAACAGAATTCAAAATAAAATTGCTTCTTACAATTCAGTAACAAAAGCCAAAAAATTTGATTAAAAGATGAGCAGAGGATCTGAATAGATATTTTTCCAAAGAAAACATACCGATGGACAATAGATATGTGAAAAGATGTTCAATATCACTCATCATCAGGGAAATGCAAATCAAAACCACAATGAGATATCACTTCATATCTGTCAGAATGGCTACCATCAAAAAGACAAGAAATGACAAGTGCTGGCAAGGATGTGGAGAAAAGGGAATCCTCATACATTGTTGGTGGGAAAGTAATTGGTGTATCCACTATAGAAAACAGTATGGAGGCTCCTAAAAATACTAAAAACAGAACTACCATAGGATCCAGCAATTCTACTCTGGGTATTCATCTGAAGAAAGCACACTAATTCAAAAAGATATGTGCACCCTCATGTTCACTGCAGTATTATTTATAATAGCCAAGATATGGAAACAATCTAACTGTCTATTGATGGATGAATGGATAAAGATGTCAGGTATATACACACATACATATATGTATATAATGGAATACTACTCAGCCATAAAAAAGAACGAACTCTTGCCACTGTGACAACATGGATGGATCTTGAGAGTATTATGCTAAGTGAATAAATCAAATATAGAAAGACAAATACCTTATGATTTCACTTATACACTGAATCTAAAAAACAGGACAAATGAACAAACAAGACAAAACTCATAGACACAGAGACCAGAATGGTAGTTGCCAGAGAGGAAGGGGGTTGAGGGGGACAAAATGGGCAAAGAAGGTAAGAGATACAGACTTCCAGTCATAAAATAAATGTCATAGGGATATAATGTACAACATGGTGACTGTAGTCATTAATATGATACTGCATATTTTGTAACTCTGTATGGAGACAGAGGGTAACTAGACTTATTGTGGTGATCATTTCAGTGTATACAATATCAAATCATTACGATGTACACCTGAAACTGTTATATGTCAATTATACCTCAATTTTAAAAAACTGCCTTTTTTACAAAAGTATTTTTAACACTATGCTACTTTATGAATTAAGAATCTGTTTTATACATTTTCAGCTTTCAAATTGTCATTTTGTCATTATATATAAGGAGATATATTTTACTCTGTATATATTCATTTTCTCATATTAATTAAATGCAAAAGAATAACAGCACACTGCTATCACTAACAATTTTCCTTTTATCTTTCTATACTTCTTATTCTCTTTGCATGATTGAAGAACACTTCCTTTTAAAAGTGCTTTGTATCCATGGGGTTGTTTAGTGTTGAGTGGCAATAATAACAATATCATTTTCCTATCACCACATTTGAAAAGAATAAACTATTTTACAACTAATTTACACTAATGTGTATTTTGTACATTTCTCCAATGATTTTTCATCGCTACTGGAGCATTCCACTAGATTGGTTTGGAATTGCTCATGCTTTCCTCAGCTTTTAATCACAAGAATTTCAGTTAAAATTTCCCGAACGTTATAGAAAATTTAACTAAACTCTAGTTGATTTTCTTAACCATTAAAACACATCGAAGAAGTCAGGCCTTTGATAATACATCTCGAGGAAAGGAGAGCACCATGTCTGTGGTGCTGCGGGTTAGAGAGAGGCCAGTGACCAACAGAGGCCAGCAGAGCGGGAAAGTGGGAACATGGCCAGACACAGTGCAGGGGCGCTCAGTGACTCAAGGCCCAGAAAGGGGCGAGGCATCAGGAGGAAGGCCCGCTGGCTTCCTTCCTTGCATGCCCCCATAATCGGCCTGGTACCCTTATGAGCCAGGCACTGACGTTCTCATGAACTTGATACTGGGCTCAAACAAGCACAAAGACTGAATAACGGTAATATGCATCTTCTTAAGGGTACAAACTATATTACATTTATAATTATAATTTCAGACCATGTTTAAAAACAGTCTGCAAAGAAAATACAATGCTGACTATTCTACACTGTAACATTATGAAAACATAAGTGTGTGATGAACTTTTACTATATAAACCAAATTCTGATTTTCCCTCCAATTAACTTAGTATGAGATATTGTTTGATTCTTCCTATTTCTTGGGTTTTCCATTCCTCTCTTAAACACAAAATGGCAAAAGAGGAATAACAGAATTTTACAATACTTATACATTTTAATGAAAATAAGGAAATTGAAATGATAAAAGTGTTCCTATTAAGAATTAGTACAACTCTTCAAATATACACCAGTTAAGCAAATTTTTATTTGTAAGTAAAATTAACTTAAAGATGCTGTTCATAAGAACATTAAAGAAAAATTTCTGATTATTATCATTGCTATAAGTCAGTTTCTATCCACAAACATTAAAGTTAGTGATAAAAATGACTTACCTTCACATCCCTGTGAATTATGTTATTATCATGACAATAGCGTAGAGCTTCCAGTATCTGTCTCATGTAATGACTGTAGAAAAACAAAAGAAAGCTAAAACTGTAAAAAACCTTTTATTTTTAAAACAATGTCCATTGCTTGTAACTCCTACCTTTGTATTTGCTGCCCTCGAACACTTTTTGTTTGAGTAGACAGGACTAGTGGAATGTGTAGCTCAGTGATGAAAAAGTTGGCAGACTCTTAAGTTTATGAGCTTATGAAGAAATAATGTGTTCTACATTTTCTAAGATATCTAAGTCAAAAGAATTTCACACAGTTCTTAAGTAAAATACCTCTGCAAACTACAAATTCAAACTGAAAACATGAAAAACAACAGTTCTCTGACACTGAGTTAATTCTACTTAGTTACACTGGATTGCTATGAGGTGACCAGTGCTCACAGCTACACCAAGGATTCTGACTAAAGGGGTAGGAGCCTTTTATCTGCCAGCAGAGAGAGGTTAGCTCTCTGTCTTATTTCCATTTAGCTCTAAGGACAAACAAGAGAAAAGAACCCCCTTATGTTGACTTTATTTTTTTTTTGCAACATAATCAAGGTTTAGTTGGGGTATCCTTGAATAAAGCAGAGTTCTTCTGGGCCTAAGTCCTAGGAAGTCCTAGGAACTCCTCAGAGGCCAGCAGGGTCCGAACGAGGCTCCTCACTGGGTCCAGATGAAAAACAAAGGAGGAGTTAGCATTTTAAAGGACAGTCCTTAAAACATGGTAACAGGGTCAACTAGCCATAGGGTGTGACAAGAGTAGTTCATTCAATATTGTTTCAGAATTTACTTCAACCCCCTTCCCTCAATTCTAAAGTTCTTCTTCTATAATCCCACACTTTTTCTTTCTCTGAGGGTCCTTTTCATCTTTCTTCCCTTGAATTTTACTCCCTTCATATCTGTCCTTTCCCCCCATTATCCCTCTTGCCTTCTCATTTCCCTCTTGTCCTTCCCAACCAGCCATGACACAGAAATGCAATATACTTAACATTATTGACTGTATGGCATTTACTGAAACTAAATAATTTAATGGTACTTCCTCATGACCTTGTGTGTGTGCTTGTGACTCAAGACCAAAAAAATTTTCCCCACTCCTGTTGTATAATTAAGAGATGTTTCCATCAAGTTACTTCTTTGGTATGCTACTATCTAACCAAACGCACATGAATGTCCCTCTAATTAGCATATGCATTATTTCATGTATTAGAATTGATCTGAAGGTTCCATTTCTAAAATGAAAGGTAGGGGTAAAAATCCCCCAGGTCTTTGTTTCTGTACTTATTACTGTCTCCTCACTATTGGGCTCTAAGCAGAAAGAGCTAGGCTCATGAAGTCCTTAGCTGTGATGTTCAGTTTTTCTTACTTCGCAAATACATAGAGGGGTCGTGGTCATATACTCTTTGCCTGGGCCAGAGCAGCTGTAATTAAGTTTTTGTTCAAGTCAGGGATTCTTAACTGGGTGGTATGGCCCATTCCTGGTTCAAATTAGGCTTTGGAGGATCTGTGATCCCCTGAAATAGCAGAGACAACAAATGCGAAAGTGCTTTGTAAACTCTAAACCGTGCTACAAAAGTTGTCTATTATCATCAAATTCAGTCAAAGATTTCAGAACAGCCTACTTGTGCATCTAGATGTGAACACTGGAATGGTAGGTATGTTTAAGCTAGGTCATGTGTCCAACTACTTTGGATACTTAGTCCTGAGACAGCCACTTATATCTTTAATCTGAGGAAAACTCTTATCTCAAAGCCTTATTAAAAAAAACAATGAATGAGCATTTTTAAAATCTGAATATCAGAGTATTCAATTACTTGACCCAAATATACGTACCTACTAGAATCTCTGGGGTGTGTGGAGGGAGGGTAGAATTTTTTTCTTCCCAAATATTATAGATTCAAACTGATCTTCCTCCACCCTCCCAGTCAGGACCCCGGGAGGCTGTGCATGAGAACAGTGTGCAAGGAGAAGAGAGAGCCTAAATCTACCCACACGTTCTAGACAGTTGCTGACTAAACGTTAGCCCAAAAGTTTCATTTCGTGAAGCATCATGGTGGCCTACGCTTTCAGAGAAACTCAGCAATATCTATGTTTGTCCCCATCCCTAAGGATCAGGAATGGTAACTCCATGGGAAAAAGAGCTGGCCAGCAATCCACTCACTTCCTTTGGACAGAAACATTTTGGGGGTGGAAGAAAAGAAGGGCGGTGACTCAGTCTACTCTCTTTGGCAACTCTGGGTAAGAAGACCAATGCTCTTTGCTAGGCTGAAGAAACCTTATCTCTGGAATTCCCTTAACAGAACATCCTTGGCTAAGGATTACCTATGATAAATAGAACCCAGGATCCCTGAGGCATGGATGGCTTCCTGGAAGAAGTCATGTAAACTGTATGACTCTCTGAGGTATACAATGGAGATGTTCCACAATTGAAATGCTCCCCAGTGTGTGACATCTCACAAACCTCATGTAAAGACCTCATCTATTCTGGGCCAGACGGGCACTCCCGATGCAGGGAGGAATGAAGTGAGGAGCTGCCCTTAAAAGGCCCAGATCTCTCTCTGCTTCAGCTGAGGCTTTTGATTGCTTTTATCCTTATAATTGTTTAATAAAGCCTGCTACTAGGTAAGACTCTCACTTTGATTTGTGAGAGTTTGATTTGATAACCTGCTCCTGTATGTTAGCTCACTCCACAACTCACCACCTCTGAAAGAACAGAGGGGAGCACCAACAGGGCTGTGAGGACTGAACGTGGTTTCCTTCCCTGCCGTGCTTTGCTACTCCTCTTGAAGCTCAGCCAGTTGGAGAAAAACACAATCAATTTGATTACGAGGTGTCTCAGAGTCTCCTGGCAGTTGGTCTCACTAGAATAACCGATGCAAGCTGAATTTCCCAACAGTGCATCACAGAATCAGAGAGGGGAAGGGAGAAGTCATCTGGTTGGACACTGTAAACCAAAGGAAGGATTTACGTGCCCTTGTTTACATGGTGGCTGGTACTCTGCAATATGGCACGTACCTAATCATACTTTCTGAGGCTGCCCCCCTTTGTCATTTTTTGGAAGGGTTTTTAATAAGTTGTGTCAAGCCTCTCTGCAGTGTCACTTACTGGTCCCAGCAGTACTCTTTTCCAGTCCATTCTGGAAAGTTCTTTTCATAAACCACCATTTTAACAGCAAATATGGGTGGATTTTAAAATCAACAGGCTTTTATCTTGATGCATATAAACATCTATCTTCTCTATAAATCTCAAGATTGAGAGACCTCAAGTGATCTCACTGTATGACATCACCTCTACACACTATTCTCCCCATTCTAACACCTAGCACAGCGGCAGAGACAGGCTCGAAGTTAAGGAAAAGCAATAGGGATGAATGGGGAATAAAGCAAAATGATACTGGTTTAACATCAACCCTGATAGCCTATATGCCAGGTACCCGCATGTTTTTGTGGTTCAAAAAGGAAAGTCATCTTTCTCCAGCGAGTTTCACTGTTTTGCAAAATCAACATTCTGAAATTTTAGTTTTTCCCTATTTGATGCTGCTGTTGAAAGATATCAATATGGGAAAGGGAAAGTACAAAATTCAAATTCTTGACATGTAAAAGTCTGAGAGTTTCATTTAGTCAGATAAAGTGGTTTACCACAATGCCATAAGAAAAATCAAGATAGCACTGGCTATTTTTGGTATTAAAGAATGGTTTTAATTCTGAAACACAATAAAAAATAAACAGTTTGAACTGTGAGAAGAACTGAAAACAATATAAATGGGATTTTTTTTTAAAAGAAGAAAACTCTAGAATGTGCTTTAGTGAATGACACAAAAGAAAAAAGGATATTTAGCCTCAGTTCTACCATGAATAATATCAGGAGTTTAAATAAGTAAAGTCAATATATATAAAATCTCATTTGCTGCTTCTTCCTAGCTCCAAGAATACAAAACAGCAGCTACCTAAAATTGCACATATTCTTTATCTTGTGTTATAGCTATGGCTGCTTCACCTCCTGAGAGGGAGGCTCTGGCTCTTCAGCTAGAAGGCAGGGCAAAGAATCTGAAGAGCGTCAAGGCATTCTTAGCTCAAAGTCGCACGAGTAGTGTCTAAGTTGTTTTCAGTCATATCTGTCCATTGTGCCACAATTGTAAAAAGAATGATAGAAGGGAAAAAGTTATAATCATTTAATTGTATCTGTCTCTCAAATGGTAGAAAATTTTAATAAATCCTAATGGGTGTGTAGGTTTGAACCCTTCAACATATTATAGTTGGCTGACGAGGGATACTGTATCCTATGTATTAAAAGGCAACCTACTGGAGTAGGTATTTGTGATGTGATTGAGTATCACCAAAGCAGAAAGCTGTGCTGCTCTAAATCTGTCAGCAAGTGGCCCATGCATGGCTCCTGTGATTTTTCATATTAAATCTTTACTTTGAGTCACTAGTTCTTGTAAGAACTCCTCCACTTAGAACAATGGTGGCCATCTGACTGGGAGATCACACACTGGCCTGAAGCAAATGTATTCAGCAGAAAAATTGTGCTTTTATTTCTGTTCCTTCTACTGTTCTGTGCTTTTTCTCAGATTAACTGGTCACATAACAATTTGCTATCACTAAAAGGCAAACTGAAGAACTAATCAAGCACATTTGCCAAAAAGCAAAAATCAAACACAAACAAAAAACCCAAGTTTAATTCTAGACAGTTTCTGAGCTATCAAATTCCTCCTTGTATAAAGGTCATCAAAAATGGGAAAAATAGCAGTAGTGATGTTAAACTGTAAGCTCATACAAATACATAAATTCATTGTTCAGTATTTTGCATTTCCAGTCACCGTCTGGCTCCACTAAAGCACATTAAGAGACATGCTCCTTGTAAGAAAGAGTGCCCGTATGGTCGTCATCAGTTCAAAGAGCAGTCCATGTCATGTGATTTCTCTGTCATTTCCTTCTTTGACTTCTACCTTGACTTCTGGGAAGTTCATACAAATTACTTACCTGGCTACAGCTTCACTGTATACAAAACCAGCGTCAGCTCGCTTTACGATCTCAAAACACAGATCCGCTCCATCCATACTGTGGAGAAATGTGAAAAAGAATGTAAGAAAAGGAAATTCCGGGAAGAAAACACTGAAACTGATTACACTGCAACTAAATTATTAGTTGATTTACAGCTAAAGGTTGTAATAAATTATTCAAATCTTTCTTTTGATGAAAAATAGACATAAAGTATTAGGACATTATAACCATCTTAATGTTGAAAATCTACAGGAAAATAAACAGGAAGAAAAAGCAAATGGTAGCATCAAATAACAGAAGGCATAGAAAATTGTCTATACATTTTCTTTAGGTTATAACAAAAAGTCTCAGGAAAGAGAAATGTTGGGGGTTGTGGGCATATTTTTGAATCAAATTCTGAAATTATCTATATCTAGTCACATCATGTAACATTTTAAGAATACAACAAGGATTCTAAAAGATTTTGCTATAGTTATCACCACTAAATGGGAGTTCAAGATATTTACTGTGAAAGGAAAAAAATTAGCTAATCCATGATTTAGTTTTGTTTATACTTCCATTACCAAAGTTAATAGTTACAAACATATTCTAACACGCTGATGTGTTGGTGACAGTGTTACTACCTTGCCTCCAAACATAAAATGGTTCTCTAGTTCTCACCAGGTCAGTAAGTCCTCTTGCTGTTTCAGCCATACTGTGCTTCTCCCACCTACCCCGTCCAATGACTTTTCACCCTCTAGGCATATTAGTCTTATTACTATTCCCTGAATACACTATTCTCTTTTTTTTACCACATGCTTCAGTATTTATTGCTTCTCACCTTTAAAACCTACTTTAATTCAAGGTTCCATTCCAATCCCACCTTCCCTAGGAAGCCCCCTCAATGATTACCAGCCACATTAAGGCTTTCTTTTGCTTAAATTCTTTAACAACCCTATAGAGCCCATATAATAATAATTAGCACTTACATAGAAACATATTTATGTGTACACACGAAACTTTTGCCAGATCATTACATACATTAATTAGCTAATATTTTCATAAGTGCTTTAGGGCTTATAAAGTGATTTCAAATCCAATATCTCATTTATTTAGTAGCTCAGGCTCTAAAATAGCTGTTGCAGGCATTACACTGAGGAAACAGAGACTTCTAGAAGGGAAAGCAAAGGAACTAGCTCTTCACTACTATTACTAATAATTAATAACTCATTAGTTAATAATAATAATGAACAATCATTACTAATACCACTATTTGGCAAGCACTATGGGAAGCATTCCTCGTTATATCTCCCTTCATTCTTACATCACCCCATGAGGTCAGCATCCTTCTCATTCTCAACTAATTTGTCTAAGAGAGTAGACAAGTATGTGACAGGGACAAAATTCAAATTCCTATTTCTATTTAATGCTCTTTCCATTATCTACAGCTACACCTACCAGGTGTGTAAGGAACAAATGTACATATTCAAGATCAACAGTTCAACAACAGTGTAAAGTTCTAAAGAACAAATATATTTTATACTTTCAACACAGTCCCACCTAAAACCCAGAATACTAAGCACACAGTTAATATTTGATGAATGATTATATTACTTAAATCTTGGTGTGGTCTCACATAAATGAAAATACTTTTATATTTATACAAAGCTTACAAATTTTACCTAGTTTCCATTTCATAGCTAATGTCAAATAGAATTCTCCAAATTAATTTTTATGATGGTTCAGTCTACTCTGAAGTATGGCAGTACCCATTTTCTGTCATTACAAATAAAGCCTGGATGAACATGACCACGTCTTTCTGAACAACCCTGATCATATGCTATAGTACAAGTCCTACAAGCGGAACTGCTAGAGCAAGGGGCATATACAATAATACTTCAAAAAATTTAAAAAAATTTTTTTATTTGACTGAGTTATAGTCAGTTTACAATGTTGTGTCAATTTCCGGTGTAGAGCACAATTTTTCAGTCATACATGAATATACATATATTCATTTTCACCGTGAGCTACCATAAGATCTTGTATATACAATAATACTTTAGATACACACATTATTAGACAAATTTTACCAACTTATACTGCCACTAGTGAATGTGAAAATGTTCTATCTTCTACCTTGCCTCTACTCGGATGACTACTCTTTTTAATCTTTGCCAATCAGATAGGAGGAAGAAAAAGTCACTCATGATTGCTCTCATTTGCATTTTCTTAATTACTAAAGAGGCTGAATAGTCTTCACTGCTTTGTATTTTGAGGGGAGAAAAAAGCACCATTTTTAAAGCTGGCTGCAGTTTAGGCTGGTTGGTTATCTATAAGGACCAAAATCACCTCCTAATGAGGGAATCACAGTTTTCTTTAGGCATTTTTCTCTTTTAATTGCAGAATGCAAGGATAAGCACTATTCAACTTAGATAAGAAAAGAGGCAAAGGAGAGCGGTAAATTGATTGTACCATAGAGCAGTAAGAATCCGTAGAGCTAGAGGAAGGCTTTTATGGAGGCACCTGGAAGGGGGAAAAAAGTCTTGGGGTGGGAGAAGATAGTAAAGTGGTGACAGGCCAATACTTAAGGAGTGAAACCGTCAGTGAGCAGTAACTGGAAATCACTTACTGCCTTGTGCTACAATTACCAGCATGAATCGATCCATTTCTCCTGGTCATATCCGAAATACTAGTACTTGAAATGACAATTTCTACATGTGTATATACACATACAAGTGCACTGTTAGCTTTCTACTCTTTCTCACTGTCTGTTCTTGTATCTAGTCCCATATCATTATAAATCTGTAGTAGTGTATTCTTATATATGGCAAAATAAGTCTCATTTCATTATTATCCTTCATCAACATTTTCTTCTTTATTTTTTCTCCCAGTTGAACTTTGAAATCAGTTTCTCAAGCACTAAAATCTTTTTCTATCTTGGCTGAGATAGCATTACATTTATAGATAAACTTGTAGAAATGAACATTTTCCTAATATTCTCATCGATGAACATGATATATCCCTCCAATTCCTTTTGTTTCTAAGTTATAGTTTTAAGGCTTTTTTCATACTGGTTCCAAATATTGATTGTTCAGTTTCCCCCACAAGGCATTTTATATATTTAGTTGCTATTATAAATGGGATCTTTTGGCCATGACACATTTTCAAATACAATGGTTCATAACCAGTGGTACCAAATGACCTGTGCAACTTTAAAAATATGCAGGTGTGCTCTCTGAGGGATTAGTCTGAAAGTTATTACCGTGCAAGTAATTTTCTATTATTAAAGCTATTTAGTTATTTGTAACATTGATATTAAAGTAAAAGAGGCAATCCATTAATTTTAAATTTTATGATACAGAAATAAAAACTAAAAATACTATTATTTATGAAAATTTTATTCATCACAGAAACTTAAACTATACATATTCATAACAATACAATCCCAATATAATAACCTCAAAGAAAAGCTTGATGTCTCTATTCTTTGATAAACTTTATTTGATAATCTAATGCTTCAAAAAACAATTATAAGACTCCTTTAATTGCTTTTCTCTTTGGTTTCCAATCTTAGGGTGTTTCTGGACCTGCCAAGAAGCTTCAAAAAGCATGTTCTGAATTTTCCTAGTTGGCTCCATTCTGAGGGAGTGAAATGAAAGGGAGAAAAAACACTGCTATGGAAGAGCATGGGGGAATGCTTCCATACTATATGCAGAAAAAAACTACTGGAGGTTTACTTCGAATTGTGAAAAGTGGTGAGATTATGAATGATCTTAGCTGTCCCCCCTTGCATTTGAATTAAAAAATTTTCTAATAAACATGTATTACTTATAAAATTTTAAAAACATATCCAAAACAAATGCTGCAAACAAAACAGAGCACAGGTCTAGAGGCTCAAGCTATGGCTGGCTCTATGTTGAAGGGATTAGAATATATTACCCCAAATATGCCACTTCAGCATAGGATTATTTTCAGCTGAAGGCAATTGAAAAACAGCAGACACAGGAAGAACTCTCACTCTCCTCCATTCTGTCTAAAAACAGGACATAAATTTTCCTTCATAAAGGTGACATAAATTTCCTTTTGTAAAGGTGTTCCCCTCTCCTGTATCAGGAAGAAGAAAACTACTTTTATCTGCATAACAAACCTTACTAAACAACTATTTACCATACTTTTCCTGGTCATCTTCCAACAATTTACCCCCAACCTCGGGTGCCCAAACTGTCCCTTCTTTCCTTTGTCTAGTCTCTTCATTTTATCTCTCTTTGTTAAAATGGTATATAAGCCTCTGGGTCTAACTGCCTCTGTGGCTTTTGCTTTTTTTTTTTCCTGTGAGCACCACCCCCTGCCCCCACTGCCATGTGCATATGAAAATTTTTTCTTCTGTTAATCTGTCATTTATCAGTTTAATTTGCAGGCCTATGTACCTAACGTAAGAGTGTAGAGGAAAGGTTTTCTTCCCTCCTCTATGATGTATTCTATAAAAGCAGAGAAAGAAGGGGCTTGTAGGAGACTAGCACCCGATTGCACGAAGAAGTGCTTCTCAAATTAACTGCGGTAAAGGACTAGTTTTTCCCCCTCAAGTATATTAATAACTAATATTTTATAAAATACAAAATCATGTACTATGATTTCACAGCAATGTCAAATTGCTCTAATATTTTCTAGATGTTTATTCTCAATTTGTTCTTATCTCATAAAGTGGTAATGGCTGGTAGACTGGAATTTGTCCGCAAACTATTCCTCGTGGAACACTGTAACAGACAGACCAAATCTGGATTTCTCTGACTAAGTAACATTTCTTCTGAAGGTGACAAAAACAAAACTAGATGAAATTAAAAAAATTCTTTTCTAAGCACTAAAGCATTAATAGGACAATAAATGAAAAACTACCTAGTGAGAACAGAGAAAGGATTAGAGCTCAAAGAGGTGAGCAAGAGTGGCTTCTGTCCTAGGGAGAAGGTGATGCTATGGAAAGAAGGCTGCTGCGGGGAGGGGGGACTTCAGTTTGGAGGAATTTTGGAGAAGTAGAAGGGGGCAGTCAAATGGAGACTGACAGGGTCTAACTGCTTTTGCAC